GCAAACAGGCTTCTGAGGAACAAAGAAAATTGTTACTTAGCCCATCAGTATTCATAGGACAAAAGTCTAGCCACCGTCACTGCTTAGTTTGTGTCTTATCTAAAAGTACATTGATTACTTTAAGAAGCATTTTTTTTCCCCCCTGGAGTGTTAAAGTCCTAATAGCTTAACATTTTATAGAGGTTTAAAAGTAAGTATATTTGGGAACAAAACAGGAAAGAATACTGGATTATGTTTCTTCTCACATTTTAATTTGGGAAATGAGAAGATGGTTTCTGTGTTTTAAAAACATTTCTATTATGGTTTCAAAATATACATGTTTCTAAAACGAACAGATTTACTGAAAATGCTTAGGAAATGAATTGGTGATTCTATTCAAAATTGGTTTGTCAGGACCACCCTTTGGTTAGCTAAGACGGTTGCCACTCTTGGTCTGTCCCCCCATGACCTTCATTCTAATCAGCTCCTTGCTTGGGTGTCAAGGGCCTCTTGCTCCACGAAGCCTGCTCGCCTTCGCAGCTCACCTTTGCCACGGAGATGCTCCCTGCACTCAGAGTTCGTATTTGACTCTTTCTGTTGCCTCTTGAGTCTTGGCATCGATGCAGTTTTTCGGGCATTCAGGTTTTGAGGCTGAAGGCACTATTAAAGTACCAGAGAGAGAAAAGAAGGCAGAATGCTAGAAATAAGATTAGCACTTGTGCCTGTTAAATTTCAGGGCTTTTTTTGTGAACAGCCCTGCTGGTTATTGAAGCTAGAAAGCCAAAACAAGTCAACATGCCTCTGATGGGTAACCAGGAGAGAGGGAACATTTTGAAATACATCTTATCAGTCCCTTAATTATCCTCTCTCTAGATATTTACAAAAGTGAATATATCCTAAACTACAGATATGTTTTGAATATATAGAGTGGGGTTTTTTTATGTTGAATAAACTGCATTTGAAATTAAAGTTGAAGCTTCTTAAAAAGCATCCCTGCAACTTTCCTTGTACCTGAGTAGATCATGTCTGTCAAACTGCTGATGGTGACTGAATCTTATCATCGGCTCGGGTTATAGTGTCATTTAACACCTACGACGCAGCGAAGGCCTCGCTCCTTCACAAATGAATTAAATCAGAGGAGAACAAAACAAAAAGGAAAGATCGGCTGTCCATTGAAATGGTTGTAAGATTAAAAGGCTGAGTCTTGGGAACACTAGGATATGCTATTGAATAGAGGAATGATTGTCTACCCGGGATACAACCTGGAATCGCTTAAGAACCTTTGAAACAACAACAGCAGCAAATACGGATGCCTGGACCTCGCCCCCAGAGGTTCTGATTTAGTTGGGGCCCAAGTATCAGTAAGTTTTTTAAAGCTCCCAGTTGATCTAATGTGCGGCCAGGCTTGAGAACTGCTGAAACAGGTAGATGAAAATCCAAACTGTTTAAAGAAAGCAGTTCTTCACAGCCTTAAGTAGTGACTGTGTCGCTATTTGGCAAGAGGAAACGTGAGAACAAGATGAGGGAGAGGAACTTTTAGTGTAAAATTAGTAGAGGTTTACAATCCATTATTCAGTTCTGAAATGTGAAAGCTCTGAAAAGCAAAAGTTTTTCGTAACTTACTCGATGAAAAAAAAAAATTTAACCTACTGAACATATTTAGTGGAAAATCCTGAGTCTTTTTCTGGTCTTCATTATCCCATTTGGTATGAATAATCACAGATTCTTTTGCATAAATATCAATGTGTCTGATTTCTGATTACAAGCTGCTGCCCCAGACTTCACCGAGGGTGTGCCGTCAGTAGGGTACCTTTCTGAAATGCATAACATTTTGAATTTTGAAACCCATCCAGCCCCAGGGTGATTTCAGATTGTAGTAGGGAAGGCCAAGGTAGTCAAGCCTTCCTGTCAGATTAAGAATGCCGTTCTCCTACTTACTTAGGCAGCAGCTCAGCACCCGCATTTAATAAAAACAGTGGCCAGTAGTATCAGACGAGGCTCTTGCCTCTACATGTGTCCATTCTGCAGCCTAGCCTGAGAAGAGGGTTCCATTTCGGGCGTGGCGAGAGAAACTAAGGCTAACCAGCAACACACAAGTGGACAGAGGAGAAAAATCATCATTATCCTGCAAAAGACTCTTCAGCATCAACAGCGACCCTCCAGTGTAGCAGTTTAAAACCACGCATGTATTATCTCGAACAGTTTCTGAATGGCAGGAATTCAGGAGCATCTTATATCTGGATGGTTTTTGCTCACAGTCTCTCAGAAAGTTGTCAAAATGTGGGCCAGGATGTCAGTCCTCTGAAGGCTTGACTGGTGCTGGGGTATGGATGGCATTTATTTTTCAATCCAACAGATTCCTTGTTAAAGAAAATTCTAGTTTCTGCTTCTAGAGTTGCTCAAAGTTTTAGTTTTCAATATAAACCTAACAGTTCTTTACAGAGGAGACCTTGCGTGCTAATACGTTCTGGAGATTCCTGATGGGGGTAGCTCATTACTGGGGAGTGCCTTCTCTTTTGATTTTCATGGCCCTCCCTGGGGCAGCTTTTTCTCTCCCTGAAATCCTTCCTATGTTCTTGTAAGGTGGAAGCCTGTGCACCCACCTCTCATAGGTCAATGAATGAGTGTTGATTGCCCTGGATTATAGCATAAAAAGACAGACAGGCCCCTACCTCAGTGGAGCTTCCACCCAGAGGACGGGTGTTAGTCATACAATTGAAAATGATTAAATGATTGCCAGTAAAAAAAAAAAAATTTAAATGAAAAGAAAGTGCTGTGAAGATGCTGTAGGAGCTTAGAATGGGAGCTTAGCTCGTCTGTGCTTTTGCTTGAGCAGTGCTTTGTGCTTTGCGGTTTGCAGGAAGAGTGGCCTACCTTTGGGGTTCTGCCAGGAGACCTCCTGCATCCTGGGACAGTGGCCGCTCTTCTGCACCGCACCCTGCGCAAAGCCCTCTTCCTTCCTCCCAGGCTGCAGGCATGCAGGGGGTTTAGCGTCCTAGAGCAGTCTCATTTCCTGCATGCTTCAAGAAAGAAAAGGCTGAGGTTCCTTCTAAACGGACCCGTGTAGTCCTTTCTCACCGCCATCTCTCCTCTCCTTCCCAGGTCCCCCAGTGCTAGGCTGGCTTCTTGCACACACCATTCCTCCCTTTCTTCCCCCCCCCAAATCTTTAAAAAGATGCCTTGTTATTCAGTGGAAGGAATATAATATTTTCCTTTTCTGAGCTGTTTGTATTTTGAGCCTTACTTCTAATTAGAGAAAGAAAAGCTGAAGATCTTGTGAAGAGAACTTCAGGCATGGAAAACTGAAAGGGGGGGGGGGAGGAGGCTGGTTTGGGTCCTGCGTGAGCAAATGCAGCGGCCCACAAGCATCATTTTCCGCCTCTGCCTTCCTTCTGTCTCTGAGCCATGGTGGGCTCTTCCCGGGGCGGTCATAGAATCCATAAAATCCAAAAAAATTGGGCAGCCATCAACATGATCCCGGTGAATGGTTATGGTCCATCTCTTGACTCCACCCCCAAATATTTGTGACACTGTGAAGGAGCACAATCCTGAAAAGAGATGGTGATACTATAATAAAACTTATTAACAATTTTAAGTGTATAAAATATGCAATAATTGAGGTTTTGTTGTTTTTTATTTGACTGCCTGCACGGGTATTTGGGAAGGTTTTTCTATAGCCACTCATCACTTCTCTCTCCCCCAGCCTTCTTTTTCCCTGTATGATCTTGAACTGAAAATTTCCTACCATGAGCTTTTTCAGAGCTCAGACTTCCAAGGTTGGAGAAGAACTGAATGTCTTCTCATTACTGCGTACTTTTCCAGAGAGAGCCGTAAGGTATCAAAGAATCAGCTAACTCAGGAGTATGCCCTTTTGGATGCCATTAGGACTTGCCAGCAGGGAAGGCCTGGCAGCCGAGCAGTGCCAGGGCGATCATGCCCTGGCCATCGTGAAAGCGGTATCCTAAGTGGAGTCCCAGTGTCCAGCGTATTGTGCTACTTTGCCTACAAGTAAATGAATATAAATTAGATTAATTTCAGCAGCAAATCTTCTTTAACCTTGAGCTTCCGTGTTCTCACTTGAAAATGTCATTATCGAGACCCTGCCAAACTCAGCACCACCGCCACCACCTCCAAACACCTGAAGACACACACACCTCCGAGCTTCAAAGGTCGTGTCCCGTAGAGGAATGAGCTTGCTCAATATGGAGTTTTTCATTGCTACCAAACACAGAGTATCTTCGTTCCTTTTTTTTTATTTAACGTCACCTTTGAAAGTGACTGTGATCAACGTTTTTTGGGCCTCTTTTATGTTCCTCTTTGGGAAGGCTTTTAGGAAATGATTTAAGCACTCGAAGTGTGTGGGGTTGAGAGACTGAGCAAGCAAAGCTCTGGACGAGTAAATGGGGAGGGGGTTATGGCACTTAGGATTTTTAAGTTGGTCTTGTCTGTTCCCGTTTCACCGACCTTATGAGTCACTAGAACTGGCTTTTTATGTGGCATATTTTCCTAACTGTTTGCTGGAAACCTGTCAGACTTCAAGTGAACATTTATTGTGTTTGAGCAGAGGTCCAATTAAACTAAGGTCACCTATCTTAATTGTTCTAGAACTTCTGTATAAACTAGAATCTTTGAGGGATAAATAGGGCTAATATATTTGCCAGTGTGTCTGGCTGTTTTAATAATTTGTTATTTGCATTGTTTCTGAGTGTTTTATAATTATATTTTTGAGATTCTTCCCATCAGTATGGCAAAAATACCAGTGTTTTACAAAATATACATTCTGGCAACTGTCTAATTTTTTTAAAGTAAGTCAGTATGATTCTTTTAGAATTTTGGCCCAAAATTTCTATGCAGAGGTTTTTCCACATTATTAAAATCAAACAGAAACCCCCAAAGTGCAGCAAATTTAAGCTTTGATTGCAATAGCTCTTAATTTGGGTTGCATATGTAAGAACAAAGTACTGCTTTTGATAGCTACGTTTTTCTTACTCTAATTGATTTTTTCCCTAATATTTTATTAGGTGCAGAGAGAGCTAGCAGCTGTTATTGCTTTGAAAGCCAAGAAGTCTGGTGAGTACAGTCTTTCATGGGGTCTAAGGAAGGTTTTAATTCTTAGGGAATATTTCATATGTCATGTGCTAGTGAGCAGCTGAGCGTATCTCAGGAACTTTTGGTGTAGAATGCAGAAAAGTACCATTGTTTGTTTTTAAAATCACTTATTCTACCATCAAAATAGCATAGGATGTTACGTATGGTTCTTTAAATTTTCACTGCCTTGCTTTATTTTACATTTCAAAGAAAAATGAAATTCGAAATTAAAATGTTTCTAGTTCTTTGCAACCATGAAAACGCCTATGTGTACAACAGCAGAAAGCAGACACGTTGCATTGCCTATTATAATGACAGAGGAAAACAAATGACATCAAGGTTCTCTTTTTTTAAAAGATATATTTCTTATCTCCAAGTAGTTTCTTCTAAAAATAATTTAATTGTGTAGTGACATTTAAAAGCCAGCCTTTTACGTAGGACTGATTGCATGGGTCTGATTCCTAGTACCTGTAGGAAGCAGTCTGTGGAAGTGATATGTGGGAAAGAGCTTTCAAATACATTTGGAAGGAGAGGCTGAAATCCAATACGAAATGGAGACTCACTGAAGTAGAAAAACACTTGCTTAGGGAGGAATGTCAGAAGGAGGCATCCTTTGCTGTTCAGAGGGAGGAGGTCAGTGCTGAATGGAATGACAAACACAAGGGAGATGCTTCTTGGATAATATCAAACTGGAATAAGACTTTTCAGGTGCAAAGACTGAGACAAAAATACAAGAGATGACAGAATTTGAGGAAATAAATGGAAATGTCTTAGGGACATAAGCCACACATTTTTTACATTTTTCTTTTTTCCAGTTAGGACCTCCAAGTATTTGCTTTTCTCTCAGCTGCTTATTGAATCACACACACCTTAGTACGAATTAGCTGATCACATTTATACCAACCTTTGTTGAGCTGGCTGCTGCAGAGGACACAGAGACTGGATGCTATAAAGGTGGAAGGAAGATGTAAGACCAGCAATCTTGACCTAAGGTTATTGCACAGAGAGGGCAGTGTGTGTGCATAGCTCCCAGGTGAACAGCATCAGACTGTGGGCATTTGCATGGATGGAGGCCAACATGGAGGAGACATGAACGTAAAGGTTGTCAGGGAGGGCTTAGAAATAAGTCGTGCTAGAGCTGATCTTGGTTCCTGTAATGCTGAGGAGACAAACTTACAGTCTGTTCAAGTTGGGATGGCCGTGCCTTGGAGGATTTTTTTTCTTTAATTTCAGAAAATGTTGGGAAGGTAATCAAAAACTCATAGCGTGTCAATGCTGGAGGACAACAGAGCAAGTAAATACAGGCAGGGAGGCTGGAGAAGGGGGTTGCTATTTGCACAGCGTAGTGTGGGAAGGCCCCTGATGGGACTTCTGAGCAAAGACCTGAAGTCAGTGAGGGGCGAGCCCTGTGGATCCGGACAAGAGTGTTGGGCAGAGGAGTGTGAGATGTGTTTGAGGAGCAGCAAGGATGTGAGAGTGGCTGGGGCCAGGTGACCAAGGTGAAGAGGTAGGTTTTGATTGTCAGGCTAAGAGTTTGAACTTTCTAGAGGCGAAGGGAAATGAAGAAGCCTAAGGTCCATACATGTTAGATTGTGCAAAGCGGAAGATTGGTGTGAAGGCAACTTTATTATGCCTCGACGTGGCTATATGAAGTTAGTATGCCTGTTTTTACTTGTTTGATCTTATGGAGCTTGGAATGCAAACACCGCTTTGGCAACATCTCAGGGACAGAGTGAAATGGTCTCTCACACATACACTAACGATGGGGACATATTCCTACTTTATTAGGACAGCAATTTTTCAGTATTCTAGTATCCTTAACTCTCTTATCCAGTAACTCCATAACTGGAGTTCCTATTGGGCATAATCAGAGATGCATATAAAGATTCAGGTAGAAGGAATCTATTGCACTGTTGTTTTTTAACATAAGAAATTGGAAACAATCCTTAAGTCCCCATAGTAGAGAAATGGTAAAATTGGGAGATCAGTATAATGGAATGATGAAAAGCTTTTAAGGTTGTATTTTGAAGTATTAATGTAGTAAAATGTCCTGTGGAAAAAAATCTATACAATAAGCATGTATTACTTCTCTTTTTCATAATAAAAATAGCTTTAATTATTTCTTTTCTTGTAATTACAGTATAGCATGCTCATTGAAAAACTTTTGGTAATGCATGAATGTATGAAGAAATTGAAAAATCATCCGTCATTTCACCAAGAAAGATAACCACTATTACTCTTGTTAAAAATATTTTTTATTTTATTTTTTATTGAATTTATTGGGGTAGTATTGGTTAATAAAATTATATAGGTTTCAGGTGTAGAATTCTATAATACATCATCTGTATATTGTATTATGTGTTCAACCCCAAGTCTAGTCTCCTTCCATCACCATTTATCCCCCCATCTCCTCTTCTACCTCCCCCAAACCTTTTCCTCTGGTAATCACCATACTGTTAGTCTGTGTCTATGAGTTTTTTCCCACTGTTACTCTTTTCTTGTATATATTTCCTGACATTTCTTTATGAATATGTAGGTACTGTATTATTATATATTAATATACAGATACCCAAGTTGTGGGTTCGATCCCTCGTCAGGGCACGTACAGAAGGCAACCAATCACGCTTCTCTCTCACATCGATGTTTCTCTCTCTCTAAGCATGTCCTCAGGTAAGGATTAGAGAGTTCCAGCTGCAGAGTGGTACTTTCTTTGTAGGCTTGTTATTGTTTTTTAAAACTATTTTTAGGGGTGTGCTTTTTTTAAAGGAGGTGGTAAACACCTAATAAAAAGTCTTAAAAATGATAGTTGGTACATCTGTGGCTTGACAAAAGGAATTGATTACCCTAATATCTTATGTCTTGCAGTAAAACTGCTCATTAGGGCTCAGGTGGTCAGGCCAGATTTATGTCTCACTGCAGAGGGTTATTAAAACAAGAATTAGTATAAAGAAAAAGTATTTTGCTTCAGCTCACCATACAAACAGAAATGAAAGAAACAGCCAATCAATAAATTATATAAATGATTCAAGACCCCAGCTTAGTAAAAAATCCATTTTGTTGTAATCTTCTCAGAGGCCATTAGGATGTGCCTTTAAACAGTTTTCTGCTCTAACTGCTAACCTTAGTGGATGTGAATTGCATTTTAAGGCTTCACAGGATTTTAAAAAATTAGCTGAGATACCCTTGCATGTCTTCCTTGTCATTGGATTGCTTCTTCTACTACTAATGTTGGCTAATTTGAGTCTTAGGAGGTATGTTTCTTCCCTTTTCCAGGAAATTCACAGACAAAGCACTTTTAGCTCTGTTATTTTAGATCACATGAACCCTGTGCCATGGTGGGCTTCTATTTCTGGAAAGACGGAAACCTCATATTGGTAAATCTCTGGCAGTTTTTATATTTCACTCTCTCTGCTTAGCCCATGGCTAGTTAAGTGTTTTAAAACTACATACCTAGGATATTTTATTTTTTAACATTTTATTTTTATTTTTTAATGTTTTTATTGATTTTAGAGAGAGAGGAAGGGAGAGGGAGAGAGAGAAACATCTATGAGAGAGGAACATCAACATTGCTCGGCTTCCTCCTGTACGCCCCCTGCTGGGTATCGAGCTCACAACCCGGGCATGCACCCTCACCGGGAATTGAACCAGAGACCTCCCGGTACACGGATTGACATTCAACCACTAAGCCATACTGGCTGGACCATACCTAGGATATTAATGTTTAGAAAAGAAAGAAGGATTTTAGGCTCTGTTTATGCCATTAAATGTCTCTGTGACCTCAGCAAAGTGATTCCAGTTTGTATCTTGGAGGTGGGGGCAGGTGAGGATTGGTGTAGAATCTGGTACCCTTAGAGATTCCTTCCAGCTCAAACATTTCATTGTAACAATGAATATTTTCATTCATTGCCTTCATTATCCTTCATGGAGTTACAACCCTGGGAATATTTTATTCAGGACTCTTAGGTGCAAATGATAGAAAAACTGGAAACCAGAAAGGGGGTTGATTGGCTCAGAGAATCTATGGAGTTAAAGAACCTCAGCAGAAATAGAGCAGCTCTTTCCTGGTAGGCCCAGCAGCAGTCTTGGTGGGGACCTCGTTGGATGTATGAAATGCCCACCTCCAGACCAGCAGGAGCATTGCGGGGAGGGGAAAAGATCAGGTCAGCCCCACGCAAGGCACATGGAGGAGGCCAGAGCAGGCAGGCGTGGCTCCTCAGAGAAAACCAGCAGAAAGGGAAGGGCTGCTGGTCACCAGAGCCCCATGTGTTCTCCACAAGCCAAATTGTTTGAATTGACCCAGTCTCAGAATTCAGAGAGGAAGTGTGTGCTTGAGAGCGCTCCGGCTAGAAAGTCCGCAGACAGAGCGCAAACCCAGGCTTTCCCAGGCTCCGTCTCCAGCTTTTCCGACTACTCTTCATTGGGTCCCCTCCCTGGTTAGTAATTTTCCGGATTATGAGAGTGAGGATGTGATGGGTGAAAAGACATTCCCGTTTTCCACTTTTGTTCCTGGAAGTGGAGAAGAGTAGAGTGGCAACTCAAAAACGTTTCGTGTAATGGATGGCAGCATTTCTTTTTTTCTCTTTCCAAGACAAATCGCCAGGGATTGAGGTTAAAGTGTTTTTTGTGTACTAAGATATTTTATTATTTCTTTGACATATTAAATATATATAACATAAAATAGTAAAAAATGGTTTACCTGTTGCATTTAGCTTTGGCTTTTTATAAATGTTATTTTTAATAGGCTAAGTGTTATTTTTAATAGGCTAGAAAGGATCAGAGGGCAGTCAGTGTTTTACATTGGAGTTAAATTGTTTCCTAGCCTCGGACATTCTCTTGTTTGGTCATCTTTGCTTGAATCCTATATTCAAGAACATTTGAACATTTGCGTGATTTCAACAACCTGGTTACTGCTATTTGCCATATATTGAATTCTGTGTACGTGACACATTCAAGGAGGCAACCCCTGGGTCTGGTAGTCATGG